GGCTGGTCATGAGTTCTTGGGGACCCATGGGGACCCTTGGGCACCCTTAGGGAAAGGTGACTATGCCCCCCTCATCTTGGCCTCTCTGCTGGCCTTACTTCTCTCCAGGCCACCTCAACACCTCCCATCTCCAGGACCCTGGGTCCTGTCACCAATCCAGACCAGGTAGGGCAGGAACTTATCATCCCTTTTGTTTTCAAGGCACAGGTTTCCTCCCCTGACTTTTGTCCAGCAATCTCCACTTTTCCTCATTTAGACTCTAAGCCCAGGAATAGGCAGGGAGACCCCCCACACACAGTTCTGGGATGGAACATCTCTTTCAGGCTGTTCTGCCTCTGCAGGCCCAAATTCAAGGGGAGATATTCCTGGTCTATGATAGGAAAAGCTTTCTGGATCGAGAAACGTGGGCATCGCTGGGACCAAAGGGGGAACAAATAAGAGCATACATAAAGGCAAAGGCATAACAGGACCTCAGGTGAGGGAGGATGACCTAGAGAATTTAGGGGTGGAAGCCACGCAGTCCAATTTTTAGTCTTCATCCTCCCCTTTATTTCTGTGCTAGGCTGGAAAGTAGCCTCCCTTGGGGTGGGTGGGGGATGTCAATCTTCTCAGGTCACCTTTGTCCCCTCCCACAAGCTCTTTGCCCATCTGCAGTGTGGGATGGGAGCTGTCCCAGCTGGCTGCTTCAGTCTCGCCCATCATATGCTTGGAATTACCTGGACAACCTGGTAAAAATACAGCTCATTTGGCTCTGTTCTGAGATTCTATTTAAGATGGTCTGGGATAGCGACTGATTCTTATTTTTAAAAAGCTCTCCAGGTGACTTGGACACGCAGTCAGTTTGGAAAAGTCTAGTGCAAGATGACTGCCATACCTTCCTCTAGGGTTTTCCAGGGGAACCAAACAGATAGAATGACTATATGTTAAAGAGGCTACTTATTAGATTGGCTTATACAGTACTGTCTGGGTTGTACAGCAATGGCTGTCTTCACACGAAAGAGGCTAAGAACCTGGTTGCTGCTGTCCACAAGCTGGATAGATTCCTCAGCATCCCAGTCTATCACTAATCACCTAGAGGAGTCCAAGAGAGCCACTGGTCTTTAATTCAGGTTGGAAGCCAGAAGAATCTGGGTTCTGATGTCAGCAAATATGTCAGTGACAGCAACAGAGTAGATGAACTCACCATTAAGACTCAAGGCAAGCAGGCAAAATGTCAAGTTTTTTTTTTTCTTCCTTTGACCTTACTACAGCTGGATGGTCACTGTAAGGAACCAATCCCCTATGTGGTGTGTCTACCCAGAGCTACCCACCTCTAGGTGTGTCTACTCACTTCAATTAATGCTGTCAGGGAAATCCTGGGGCCAGAGAAAAGGCTGGAGGTGGGAAAATATTTGCCTTGAAAGCCTGATGGCCTAGCAGGGTGGCAGTGGCATCAGCAGAGCACTTTATCCCAGCTCTCAGGAGACAGTGGATCTCTGTGAGTTCAAGGCCAGCCTGGTCTACAGAGTGAATTCCTGGACAGCAAGGGCTACATGGTGAAACCCTGTCTCAGAGAGAGAGAGAGAGAGAGAGAGAGAGAGAGAGAGAGAGAGAGGATAAAGGAGAGAGGGAAAGGGGAAGGGGAGGGAGAGAAAGAGGAAGGGAGAGAGGGAGGGAGGGAGAGTGGGAGAATGGGAGGGCAGGCCTGAGGTCAGTTCTAGAACCCATGAGAAAATGGCAGGTACGACTGCACGTGTCTATAGATCTATACTCTCTCTCTCTCTCTCTCTCTCTCTCTCTCTCTCTCTCTGTCTCTACACACACACACACACACACACACACTTAATAAAAAAGGAAAAGAAAAACTTCATAGATATTCTCACAAGCTAACCTTAATCTTGATACCTCTCGAAGGTGTGACCCAGATCCAGTCAAGTCAAAAACTAAGATTAAGCATCAGAGAGGCTGAAGAGAGCTCAGCATCATTCCTTATCTCTAGAGGACCAGAGTTCAGTTCCTGGCACCCACTCTGGGTGCCTACAATTGCCTAAAACTCCACTTCTGGAACATATGATACCCGCTTCTGGCCACCTTGATACCTACATGCAACATAGATACATACACATAAAAAAATAAAATAAGCAACCTTGTCTATAGAGTGAGTTCCAGGACAGCCAGAAATGTGACATAGAAAATCCCTGTCTCAAAACTAAATAAAACAAAAGTAATAATGATGATAGATAGACAGACAGACAGACAGACAGATAGAATCTAAAAACAAAACACATCCCTAGTGTGGTGGTATACACCTTTAATCTTAGAATACAGGAGGCAGAGGCAGGTGGATCTCTATGAGTTTGAGGCCAGCCTGGTCTACATAGAGAGTTCCAAAACAGGCTGAGTTACATAGTGAAACACTGTCTCCAAAAAAAAAAAAAAAAGGAGGAGGGGGCAAGAAAGAAAGAAAAGAAAGAGAGGCAAAGAGAGAGGGAGGAAAGGAAGAAGAAAGAGAGAAAGAGGAGAGAGAGGGGAGGAAAGCAGTAGTAACAACCTCACTACTCACTACTTTGTGACCTCCACTGAGGATAGAAAGATGGCAATCAAAATTTCCTGATGCCAAGATCTAGATAAAAGATCCAAGACATATTATCTCCTAGTTTCCCCCCAGTCATCATCCAGGAATACCGTCTTCTCTCTAGCAAGGACACTCCATATCCTGCATAAGGTCTCAGCCTGTTGAAAAACCTGACTCTCCAGGAGCTCAGTTATTTTCCCAGATCTCATATCCAGACCCTCTTCTCCGTAAACTATTCCAACAGTATCCCTGTTTCAAACCCTCTCTATTCTCCTTCCCCCAAAGTAAGACACAAACATTACCCTGTGCAACAAAGACAACATACCTGGCAAAATTTACTTTGGAAAAATCACAAATGGATGACACAACAAGGGCCGTCCGCCAGGCATGGTGGCACACCTCTTTAGACTCAGCACTGGGGAGGCAGAGACAGGTAGATATCTGAGCTGGAGGCCAGCAGATGTCATCAACCTCTAGAAGCACAAGAATTGATGTCTCCAAACCCCACAATGATGGTCTAAGTCCCCAATAGTCACCAGAAAGTTACAAAAGATTCAAAGTAATGGGAAATTACAGCTCACTCACTGAGAAAGCCCAGGCCTCCGGCACACTGGAAGAGAAGCTTAAACCATGGTTAACCTTCAGATGGCTGAAGGGAACTCTGGACAAAGATATAAGGGAATTCTGAAAACTCATACAACCTTGAGAATAGGAAGTTTAGAAAGAAGTCTATGAAAACATTGAGAATGGCCAGAGATGGCCCCTCACACCCTTAATCCAACATTTAGGAGGCAGAAGAGGAAGATTCGAGTAGTTCAAGGTCAGTCTGGACCACAAAACAAGATCAAGGCTGACTAACCTGAGCTCTGTAGTGAGACAGCAGCTTAAGAGGTATGAGGATGAAACACAGTAGCCTATCTCAGCTGTCAACTTTTTAAACAGTGTACAAAGAGGGAAATGATACCAATAAAGGCAGAAATCAATAAAATAAAGAATAGAAAGAACATAAGAAAAAGTAAAAGCTGGGCAATGGTGGTGCACAGCTTTAATCCCAGAACTCCAGAGGCAGAGACAGGCAGGTCTCTGTGAATTCAAAGCCAGCCTGGTCTACATGTTTAGTTCCAGGGCAGCCAGCGGCATATAGATTGACCCTGTCTCAAAAATGTTTTAATTAAAATAAATAAATAAATAAATAAATAAATAAATAAATAAATAAGAGCACCGGCAACTCTTCCAGAGGACCCAGGCTCAATTATCAAAACACACAATGTGGCTCATAGTAACTCTGGTTCCAGGGCATCTGACATCCTCTTCTGACTTCCATGAGCACTGCACACACATGTGCACAGGTACACATGGGCAAAAACACTAGTGCACCTGATATACGATGATAAAAGAGTTTAAAAGATCAAGTCATTGAAGTCAGAAAAGAAAATAGACACTACTATTATTTGACATAATAGGAAGGGTTGTAAGAGAGTCCTACAAGCCAGACATAGGGGTGCACACCTTTAATTCCAACACTTTGGAGGCAGAGGCGTACAGACCTCTAAGGTCAAGGGTAGCCTGGGCTACAGAGCAAGTCCCAGGCCATCCAGGGCTATGTAAAGAGACCCTATCTCCAAAAAAAAAATATCCCAAAAGGAAATTAAAATGACAATTACATTTTAACCTTAGTCAAGTAGGTATAAGACTTATACTTTGAAAATTATAAAATATTGCTAATTAAAGCAGACCTGAATAAATACAAAGCTGTACCCTGTTCAGATTTGGCAGTCCGTATCAGAGTCCCAAGGGAGGAATGGGAAGGGAGAAACTGCATAATTATAATCTCAAAAAGCAAAAGGAATAGTGAAAACAAAACAAAACCTAAGGGCAGAGGAGAGAGGTGTCTCAGCACTTAAGAACCGGCGCTGATCTTTCAGTGGACTTGGGCTCAATTCCCTGCTTGCACCTTTCCACTCACACACACACACACACACATAAATACACAATTTAAACTTAAAAAAAAAAGTCAGGGAAACCTTCACAGGGTTGGATCTGGAATGCTTTTTTAAATATGATATTGTGATACCAACATCACAGGTCATGGGGGAGAAGGAAATTGGACTTCACAGAACGTTTCAGTTTTGTGCACTACCAACAGGAAACCCGCAGAATAAGAGGACACATTTGCACATTGTGTATCTAAATTAATGTCTATTATCAGATATATATATATATATATATATATATATATATATATATATCTTAATTGTTAGCTGAAAATGTATGGAGCCTGCAGGGCAGTGAGGGAGGACCAGGAAGAGATGAGGAGGGAGGCAGTTAGGGGCTGACTGCCTGTATGCTAGAGTTCACTAACACCTCCTCCCCACCAGACCCAACTCGCAGGAAAAGGAGGGGTTGTGAGGGAAGCCCAAGTGTCAGAATGCATAAATAGGCAACAAGCCAGTCGCAGCCCACACACAGACCCCAACTTGCAGCTGTCCATCTCACTCACAGCTCTGGTCTCATCCTCAACTCAGCCACAACCATGGCTCAGACACTGGCTCTGAGCCTCCTTATTCTGGTTCTGGCTCTCTGCATCCCCTGGACCCAAGGTACCAAGATGGAAGAGGCTTTGGCTGGGAGAAGGGAGCTAAACGAGACCTTCTGAGTCGCCTCTGGTTCTGTACCCTCTACCTTGCAGGCAGCGATGGCGGAGGTCAGGATTGCTGCCTCAAGTACAGCCGGAGGAAGATTCCCTACAGTATTGTCCGAGGCTACAGGAGGCAAGAACCAAGCTTAGGCTGCACCGTCTCAGCTATCCTGTGAGTGAACCAGAGGGGTGGGTACAGGCTGGGGGTCGAGTAGGGGTGGCAATGGTGGGCCAGACTAAGAAAGCTTACTACCCCCCAATTCTCAGGTTCTTACCCCGGAAGCGCTCTCAGCCTGAGCTATGTGCAAACCCTGAAGAAGGCTGGGTGCAGAAGCTGATGAAATGTCTGGACCAGTCTGCAGCCTCCGGGAAACAGAGCCCAGACTGCAGGAAGAGCAGAGGAACCTCTAAGCCTGGAAGGAAAGGAAAGGGCTCCAAAGGCTGGAAGAGGTGAGGAAGCTGACCGGGCGGGAAGGGGAGGAAAGAGGATCCGCACCTGTCTCTCACACCTCTCTTCTGCTCTCCCAGGACTGACCAGACACAGGTCCCAAGGGGGCCCTAGCCCAGTGACCCCCCTGCACCCCTGGACCCCTGCACCCCTGGACCCCTGTACCCCTGGACCTCAGGAGATTCTCCATGAACTTCATTATGGCTTCATGCGCCAACACACGGACAAAGAAAGGGCTAGGAAACAGGAAGGACTCGGGAGCCCCAGAGCAGCCTCCTAATGCCGGCCTTGTCACACCCTTGTCCTGCTTCAGTCATCCAGTCTGCATGGTCACCCCTTTCTTATATGGCTGAGCTGCCCTCCCTGGGCCAGACCCGGAGAGTTAGAAGGAAGAGTCAAGAAGGAGACAGCAGGACTGTCCCCTCTGGGAGGTCACTCAGGTCCCCAGACCTGGCCTTGCTCTCCGAGGTGCCCTACCCTTTTCCTTGCAAATATGATTTATTCCTAATTGAATAAAAAGCTGTTCCAGCCTCAACCCGAATACCTGTTCCTGGGTGCTTGTGTTCGCAGGGAGTCAATGTTATTTCAGAGTGAAGTCATATTTTCCGGGTCCCAGCTGAGAGCTCAGAACCGTGAACCCTACATTCCAACCTACTCCAATAGTTTCTTTGTTCCCAGGGTGCCCCAACCCGTGATAGGTAAAGGGAGGCTAATGGTCAGGTGAGCCAAGGTCTCTGAAGAAACTGTTAATGGAAAGATCCAGAGCATGAGTGGGAATACACACACACACACTCTCTCTCTCACACACAAACTCACACACACACTGACTCTCACATACTCTCACGAACTCACACACTCTCACACACTCACACACACTCACTCTCACACACTCACACGCTCTCACACATGCACACACTAAAACACTCTCACACACTCACACTCACACACTCTCACACACATGCACACACTAAAACACTCTCACACACTCACACTCACACACTCTCACACAGTCACACATACATTCATACACACTCTTACACACATACACTTTCACACTCACACAATTCTCTCACGCACACACTCACGCACACTCACACACTCTCTCACATACATACACACTCACACTCACACACTCACACTTACACACACTCACAAACTCCATGGCTCTGCAGGCCTTTGAGGCCTCCCTCCCCCGATTCTGTTCAGCACACTTACTCCAGGAGTGAAAAGCCTGTTTCTTTGACCCCACAACCCTGATCCACTCCAAAAGCCCAGAGGGCTCCCTCCTGACTACTTAATGCAGATGCCCTCTCAGCTTCTTGTTTTGTTTCATGGAGCTCTTGTGATTTCTTCTCATCGAAGTCTGGTCCCTTGCATCCCTTAGCTTGCTTCCAGCTAGCTCCTCCATCTTTTCCCTCTCCTGTGGCCAGGACCTACAGTCCTCAGGCTCCTCTAATCTTTTTTCCTGTTGTTAGTATGCATGTGCGTGCCCATGTTGTGTATTTGCATTTGTGGGAAACGTGAAGAAGCCAGATGAGAACATGTGTCTTCCTCTATAACTCTCCACCTTATAATCCCAGTTTTTTACATGGGTACTTGGGATTTGAACCCAGGTCCTTTCGATTTCACAGCAAGTTCACTTACCCACTGAGTTATCTCCTCAACTGTCTCCTCTAGTTTCTTGAATCCAAGGAACTAGCCTCCTGGGACAGGTCTTGGGAAGCCCAGAATTCAAACATAAATCTATCTTCCCTTCAAGAAGACTACAGTCAGGCTTCCCTCTACCTCACAGCACAGACCCTCCAATCCCTGGGCAAGGGCAAAGAAAACCACCGATGAGCCATGACAATGTGAGAAAGCAGGGGACAGATCCTGGAGGAAAGATGAGACAGGCAAGGACCTAGGCAGGGAGTGAGGGCTGCGGCAACACCCTTTCCACAGAGCCTGAGTTGGCCGCACCACTCACAAAATCGCCCAAGTGTTTGCATCTGCCCCTCACTCCTCCTGGGGTTGGTGAGGACAAGGCAGTCTACTGATCTTTGTGCAATCAGCGGTGATCTTCGCCTCCGAACTCGAATGTGCACAGCATGCACACCTCATTATAGAATGTCTATTTAATTAATGTCATTCCTACTCCAATCTCCTGCACTGGAATGCTAGTAAAAAAACCTTGACAGATTCTCACTCTCAGGGAATCCCATCTCTCAAAGGCTGTTTAGAGTTCCTAGAACACTTAGCCCCAGTGAGGCCTCCTCCCTGCACCCACCAACCCCCACAGCCATGCCATCTTGGGACACTGCCAGGGAAAAGTGACTCCTGTGGTCCCCACAGGTTATATACCTCTCAGCCATGCCAAATTTGATACCTGAGCCTCTGAAATTAGACCTGAATACCTCACCACACCCCTGAAGCCATCTGCCTGTCACTTCCCTAGCTTCCAGGAATTGGACCCCAGTGTTCACAGTGGCTGGACCTACAGGACAGCCTCCTCCACAGTCTAAAGAAGACTTTTACAAAAGGCAAAAGGGCCTTTAACATCTAGAAATTTCTATTCTCAGCCCAGCCCACACTCATATCTACTCTAAAGTGAGAGGAAAATCAGGCAGAAGCAAAACCTAGCCAGGCCTATTGGTACAGGACTGTAATCCTAGCTGCTTGGGAGGCTGAGACAGGGGGATCGCACACTAATAACCTACCTGGCTATAAAATAAGTTCAAGGGTAGCCTGGGAAGTACTGTCTCAACTTTTTTTTAAAAATTCTTTTAAGTAAGAACTGTGTCTGGGGCTATAGCTGAATGGCAGAAGGCTTGGTTAGGGTGTGAGAAACCCAGCACTCAGTATCCAATACAAAGAAAGAAGGAAAGAGAAGACAAAAGCAAGAAGATTTCATTTTGCTACACCTATGTGACTGGCGTTCGCCTGGAGCCCTGCTCTCAATAAACATGCAATCACGTATTTTTTCATCAGAGAATGAGGGACAGCTTTTCTTGTCAATTTTGTTCTTTAACAATGTTGTTCTGTTCTTCCTTATTCCCAGAAATTATATTTTTTTAAGTCATGTAAACATAGTCATGCCTTAAAAAAAACTTTTTAAATTTTTTTCCTAAAAAGAAAGTACCAGAATCTTGTTCTGAACAATACCAGTCCCCTCAACTTTTAACTCTTAAGGTATTTCTTCTGGGAGTCTGCTCCACATTCCAAATCCTTGTAACTATCTCTTGATTTCATGCTGAGCATGTTATCAATAGACTGCTTACTATAAAGAGTGGAGATTTAGCTCCATGATCCTTATATTTCATCACGATCTATTTACATTATTATGATTATGCAAATATTCATTCACTGAAGAACAAGGAATGAAGTGTACGCACTTCTTACTTCTCCTTTGTCTTTCAATGTTTTTTTTTTCTTTATAAGCTATATTGGAGATGAACTCTAGGATCTCATGCATGCCATGTAAGAGCTCTATTACAATACTCTAGTAGCCCCAGCCCTGGCCTTTTGTTTTTCTTTTATTTGAGATGTATGTGTATGCATTTGTGCACATGCATACAATGCCCAAGAAGTCCAAAAGAGGGTGTTCATGCCCTGAAGTTACAGGCAGCTGTGAGTTTCTTCTCTCCCTTTTTGGCCTGTATGGACCACATGCACACGCAGGGCATAACTCTCCCTCTCTCTCACACACTACCTTCTAGGAATAAGTTATGCTCAGGGCCATTCAGTAGGTTATTAATGCCATATATTTAAATTATTTCATCAATTTCTCTTCCGTGAAGGGAACACCTAGGTGTATGTGCATGCATGCATGCAGACAGGCAGGCAGGCATGCAAGCAGGCAGGCAGGCATGCAAGCAGGCACGCACGCACGCACGCACGCACGCACACACACACACACACACACACACACACACACACTTATGTAACCAGCTCTCTGTTATTAGAGTTGCTACAGAATATGACTATTCTTGGGTCCCTTGGTTCCCTCCTTTTGTGTGTGTATGTGTAACTTTGGAGTCTGTCCTGGAAATAACTCTGTAGACCACGCTAGCATCAAACTCACAAAGATCTGCTTATCCTGAGTGCTGGGACTAAAGGCTTGCTACTATACCTCCAGGCTGTCTCACTCCTGTCTTACCAGTCCTTTAACCGCTTTAGAGTCAGTCCCGAAGCCTGAGGCCTTCACAAGGTCAAGCATATACCTGGAAGGAAATTCCAAGGTGAGAAGCCAGGTTTCTTGCATGTATGTCTGAGGGAGGATGTCAGATCCATTGAAACTGGGGTTACAGACAGTTGTGAGCTGCCATGTGGATGCTGGGAATTTAACTGGAAGAGTAGCCAGTGCCCTTAACTGATGGAGGCAGTCTGTGATACCTAGCTAGCCACAATTTCATACTTCTGTAGTATATATTTGTCTATTTTGTGAGTGTGGCAAGTGCCTGCAGAAGCCAGAAGAAGGTGGGAGTTACAGGTGGTTGTGGGTCCTCCCTTCACCATCATGGGGATCCGGGAAACCCAGCTCAGGTCTTCTGCTGGAGCAGCCAGAGCTTTTGATAGCTAAGCCATCCTCCAGGATACAGAGATGGTTATGTAAACATTTCACTTTCTTCAAGATTACTGTTTCTCCCTTGGTGGCAAACTTAAATACCCCAGAACAACTCTGTTGAAATTGCTAATTTTGCTTTAAATGCATTAACTGTGATAGTAGCATTATAACATAATTTAGCCCTGTATTAAGAGACTAAGCGGACCCATCTCTCGTGAACACACCTACCTGTACAGTGGTTTGTTTCTGTTCTGGACATTGCCTGGACACATCACTGGCTCAGCCACCAGGGGGTAGCATCGGCCGCGGTCCTGGCTTGCACGCTTCATCCTTGCCTCATCCAACTTTAAAACTATTTTTTTAAATTTGCCTTTATTATTTTATGTGTATCATGTTAGAACAGAGGCTTATCATTTATCTGTTCCCATTTAAGAATAGGACAAATTTCTTTCCCGTTCCTTAGGTTTAAGCCTTTCATTAGGCTGCATTTAGTCAAGAAACCCCTGGGGAATAAAGAAACCCTTTACTTAGAGTGGGCTCTGGTGCTAAGTAATTTAGGAACTTGAGACGAGAAGGAAGGCGCTGGAGGTGTTGTGAACTTCCTTCATCCTTTAAGTCAAACATCAGTTATTTTGTATCTTCAGCATTTGGTGCCACGGATTCGGGTACACTGAGGTGTTTGGGTGGGACCTTGGAGGTAAACGCCTCCTATTCACCGCCATCCTCTTGCCTGGTTGAATGCCTGTTGACCTCGAGGGCCTGGGTTGGGGATCTGGCGCTAGAAGTTGCAGGACAGGAACCTACACGACCCTGGATCGCAGAAATGTGGTTCCCATTCCCTGTCCCACACTCACCCTGTCCCCGGAGTAGCTGGGAGGGAACAAAAGACATTCTGCTAACGCTGGCGCATCCTCTGAACTAAACGCCTGGACCGAGCCTTGCTTTCCAGGCTCGGGGCGCCCCCTGCAGGCCAAAGAGTAGACACTCTTTACATCAGC